GTCTGATGAGTGTGGTGCTGGAGGCCTAATTAAAGTCTCTTTCTCTCACCACACTTTTCTTATCAGGAAATGATGGGAAGGGAAAGTTGATTTGATAGCGGAGGAGACGCATAAGAAGGGGGAATGTCATCTTTATATGCGTCTCCTTCGCCATTTTGGCGGATTCAGATGGTCGCTTGCTTTTGCCGCCTTATATTATAAACAACTACCGGTAGAAATTAAAAAAAAATCTATCCTAAATTTCCACACTCATAAGCTATCTTTCTGTCAACGTCCCGTTTAAATTGATGCAGTCGTTCCGGAGATTATTAGGAACAAATGTGGCTAATGGATTTATTTTCTTCATATTATATACATTAAACATTTTTTACAACGTAGGAGACGTATCGGAAGGGGAAATATTTCCGTAGATAGAGTAAGGGGAAAAGAACGCACTTGCAATTGTATTGTTAACGGTCGCTTCGCTTTTTAGGCGAATTCATGCCCCTTTTTTCCACAAACTGTGATATGTATGAATTTTATTTTGTTTAATGTTTGTAAAAATATTTTCAGAGAGAACAAATGCTGGAAGCGCAAGACATGTTCCGCAACGCGAACCGCGTTACAAGACCGGAAAAGGCACTCATACTGGGCTTCATGGCCGGCTCCAGGGGTCGGTTTATATTTATATTACTACTAGCTGTAGCCCGCGGATACGTACGCACGTGATTAAAAAAGTATTTGATGTGTTCTTCCAGCCTATGGTATACATCTATGCCAAATTTCACCCAGATTCGTTGAGCCGTTTAGGAAATGCCTACTAACAAATATCTATTCATCCATCTAAATTTTCGCATTTATAATATCTCATTCTAGCACTACAATAATCTTAGGGTGTTCGCGGAATAACTTCCACCAATTTGCGAACATTTTGTTGAATTTTCCTATGAGGACTAGATTTATTAATTTTTCCTGTCTCAACATTTTGTTACAAGTCTTTGGTAGGAAGTCTAAAGATACTTTTGTGATAAAACTGTTTACGTAGGCTTTATGAATAGGCAAAGTTTTATCTATACTAAACTAAAATAAAGAAAAAAAAAACTTTTGTATGTATTGAAATAACTCAAAAACTACTGGACCAATTTAAAAAATTCTTTAATCGTTATGAAGGTAATTTATCTGTGAGTAACATAGGCTATATATTTTTGTTGTTTTTTTTTTGTAATAATACGCAATTCTCTTCGCAGATAATCCTTGTCCTAACCTCGGAAACATAGTGACTATAAAACTATCGGAGAACTACGAGAACGTGATACAATCGGATGACACTTTCGTCACCATGGTAGCGGAGATGCACTTCCAGATGAACTACAACAACGGCCAGTGGACGAGACTCAAGAAGTACCGTCCCCTGGACGGAGCAGTGCCACAGAAAATACCACCCGGATCTTCCATTATTGCACCAAATAACCAATCTATAGTAACACTAACCAATCAAAATGGCAGTTAAAATTTACTGAAATATCGACGGTTAATGCTTTATATTTATAAACAAATGTCAAATATTATAAATGTCACGTTTGACTAATGTCAAAATGACAGTTGACAGTTGATTTACAGTTTTACAGTCAAAGAAAATATCCGGTGAGGTTAGGTTGTGTGAGAAAATATTTAAAACCTATATGAATATAAATAATTTAGAAGTATTGACAGTGAACTATAGTTAAATAACTTGTTGGAACCAATTTATGTAATCTGTCATGCGATTGTCAAACATGTGTCAAATTGACAGCTGTCAAATGTTGAAAAACGCCGAGTGTTGCTAGCGCTGTTTATTTAGGACGAAGGTACGTTTAGATTCTTTTTTATATTTTATTCCGTTTTTATTTTATCCGTCACGAAGTGAAGATAATTTTCAATTGATTTTGATGGTTAGTTAATTAGTTTGAGATTAGGATTTTAGTTTTTTTGTTTAAGTTTAGTTTTAGTTAGTGAGATATGAGTTTTACTGCAACACTTGATTAGTCCCTTAGTGTGGATTTTTTAAATCTACACTAAGGATGTCCCTTAGTGACTGCAATCTAAGTGTGACAGTCAGTGGTTGATCTCACTTTGGAGTGTGTTTAGTTAATTATCTTCATTATATTTAGTGCCAAATTTTAACGCATTATGATATTTTCAAGTACAGAATCCAAAAAACAAACGGGAAAAAGGTAAATAACACATAACCCTGGTTAACCCTCTCCCCCAAAAGCTAAAAAGGGGGTGCTAGTAGCGCTGAAACCAATACTATAGTAATTTATAAATAACTGAAATTTAACTAATAAAAGCAGTCATATTGGAACGATATAAACGTTTAACATCAAAGATTTAAGAATTTACGCAGCGTAGTGTTTAATATTCGTTTCAGAATACGGCCGACTGTTAGTTTGTTCCAAGAACATCAAGGGCCTGTCCTACCACTGGCTGATAGAGGCTCAGACAGCTTAAAAGTGACGTCACTATCAGATATACCAAAATCCGATATTTCCATCCCATTTTATACCATACATTGCATTGTTATTTGACTTCAAGAAATGTGGGACAGGCCCTTTGTGAAATGTGAGAGTAATGGAAATATTGTTGTGAAACATGTTACGTCAATGGAAACTGTTGAACTCTTGATCTTCAGATATGGTCGTAAAGGGTTTGATTTCAAAAAGATATGTTGAATAATATAATGACGCGTATATACTTATGCCTGAAGCGCCTTCATATACATAAGTTATTCTAGTTGTTAACAAATTGACTGGGCTCCAATTTGAGCTCTTATATATTTTTTTTCGAGAATATTTTACGAGTAAATGTTCAGTCTCATAGTTTGTCTTGTAACTAGTGAAAACTCTGCCGAAACAAGTACAAAAAACAGTCGAAATCAATGGAAATGAGAAATTATAATCTACAATCGATCTTTGCCTCATTCAATGCTGATACGAAAATGTGACGGAACACAATTCGACACACAAAAGACAGCCGTGAAATTGAAGCAATTCTATGTTTCGTCTGATGAGTGTGGTGCCGGAAGCCTAATTTAAGTCCCGTTCTCTTTACCACCCTTTTCTTATAAGGAGAGGATGGGAAGGGGAAGTGGATTTGACGGAGGAGGAGAAGCATAGGAAGGGAAAATATCCTCTTTATGTACGTCTCCTCCTCTGTCGGATAAAGGTAGGCAACGCATCTGCAATTCCGGATGTCTATGGGCAGCGGTCGCTGCCATTTTGGCGGATTCAGGTGGCCGTTTGCCATCTTATGTTATAAAAAAGTGTTAATTGACATCAAATTAGAAACCTCTAAAATTGTCAGTATTTCTCTACTATATTATACACTAGCTGTTGCTCTCGACTTCCTCCGCAAGAAATTAACAAACAAAAACGAAATATAGTCTATGTTACTCTAAATGTAACTCTATGTAAGTCTACAGCTTTTTAATTTAAAAAAAATGTGATTGCTGATGTCTTAAATAACAAAGTGTATTTTACCTGAGTATTATATTAGTACTGGTTAAAATTGCACAAGTAAACGTTTAATGTTTTAATAACAATGATTTTTCAATTCGCCTAAAACTGTCCACATTTGTGTTGTCCTACTTCAGTGTCTCAATTGATACCATTAGCTACCGGTAATTTGTCAAGGATACAGGATTTCGTCTATCTAGTTAGCTGCTATTCAAAATTTTAATCTTGTTCTTTATACTTTCAACATCTCCAAACTTATTGTTAGCGAAATCATTAAAAATCAATGGGCCAACTATTAATTAGAAGTGAAAGAGAGAGAGAGAGATGCAAATATAATCTATCTATACTATTATAATAAAGCGTAAACACACACTTCTTTGTTCACTAAGATGTCAGCAATTACAGCATATTTATGAATAATTCTTTTTTAATAAAAAGCCCTACACTTACGTCATGCTTTAGGCTATATATTTTCACACCATTAAACTTAGGGGGTAAATATTTTTTTTGGATAAAAACCCTAATGTGGGAAAGAGACCATAAGTTGCTGCCAACATCAAGAAAGAAAGATTGCTACGGTATGTCATGTCATTTTGCCAATTGCTGTTAATAATTTGACAAATGTAAACAATAAAATAAAATTTTCATAATATGCGGATGAAGCCGCACAGGAACAGCTAGTAAATTATAGTGTCAGCCGAACTTTGTTTAATTTCTCACTTCTTATGATTTCTCGATAGATGACTGTTTTATGTGGTTGTTTTGGCATTTGACCCAAGACAATGCATGCTTTACCCAAAAGTTTTATAATATTTTTTTAGATACAATTTGTAATAGTGCAGATATGTGATGAAAAAATGTAAATTTAAACTAAATATGTCAATATTTAGTTTTTTAGTGTCCGGTAAATGTTTCTTTTTTGTGATTTTAAAGTCCCTGGAGGACTAAAGATTAGTTTTATATGTGTAAAAGAATTGATAAATATACAAGACAAAACATACTGGCAATTTCGTTTACCATAAAATCGGTTTAAAAATAATGTTTATATAAAAAGACAGTTACATTTTTTTTTGTAAGATTTCTACTTTTTTTCCGCCGGACACAAAAGATTATCTTGTTTGGAAAAACCTGTTTTATTATTTTAATTTAATGTTGTTTATATTCTAGTATTTTAGTAATACAAGTTTTGTTGTACTATGTTTTTCTAGAGATATTTAAAGTATTGTATATAGTAGATAGTACAAAAATATTAAACATAAAACGAAATGCTATTATATCTATGTGTTTTATTAAATTTGTAAAAACCCTATATTTACCATAAAACTCTCACAATACTCGGTTTCAAGTCTATTTATACATTAGGGTCGCGAGCGTCAAAGCTCGAGCTTGTAAGACCCAGTAGCTTCGACTCGAAGCTCAAGTTTCCACCTCAAAGCTCATTTCACAACACTAAAGTAAATGTGAAAATGGACCGTTTATCTGTTTAAATGGATAGGTCATTGTTTGGAAATGACATACATCGTTTCGAATTACGCAGTTACTGACAGTTAATTTAATTAATTAAATTATTAGTTTGTACCCTCACATCTGCTAATCGTAGTTACCACCAAAATAGCGAAATTAAATACGCATAACATACACCCTTGAACAGCCTGTCAATTAATAGTTGTGTTTCTACACATGATGTTATCTATATAATTACAGTAGATGGCGCTGTTTTCAAAACATTAAATTAAAGTAATTAATTAAAATATGAAGATAAGTTTTTGTTAAATTTAACTACTGATTTTAATGTTTCTTATAAACTAAATAATATTATATTAATTATTGGATTAGAATATTGGGGTAATTGATTTATCTACCCGTAAGTTGCATTATTCCACGCAGCTTACATAAGTCTTCAGGTAAACCTAGGGTGTGCTAGCTTTTAAGCTACGTGGGCGGCAGTAACGAGCGCCCTCTGCATCAGCTTTTGCTTCAAAGGTTCGTAATGCATTTTAAGGCGTCAGTTGCCGTTGTGGTGGCCGCCGTTTCAGACGTTTCGTAGCGCTCCCGTGACTACTGTGAGTATTGATTTTTCTCTTAAAAACGTTAATAGCTGTGAATATTTTATGAACATTATTTTTGCCTAGATAAACTATATTAAGCTAGCGAATAGATAATATGTTAGGATAGTTAGAAGAAATATCGTTTTAATCTAAATTTTAAAAATTCAAATTATAATGTGTTAAATTCTTTTTTACGAAACAATTCATTTATTTCATTAATTTTATATGAAAATGTTTTAAACATTAATTACGCAATATTTGCTCGCTTTTCACCCCCACCCTCTAACTTGCGGGAAGAATTCACTTGTTGCGTCTTACAAAGATTTTTATCTCAGGTACTGATTCAGTTTATTTGATCGGTTTTTTATTCTCTATTGTCCATTCTATTTCGTATTTTTAATCTACAATTTTATAATGTTGCAATTACATTCGGTTATTCTTTTTTTATCAGGGAAATGTATAATGAAATTCGAACATCTTTTCATCAAAGATTATTGATTCCTGTGGGTGTGATTTATGGGCGTCGTCAGGGAGGCAAGGGCGTGGGCGCCCCCCTTCCTAAAATAGATATTTAACTTGTAATAAGACAATATTAACAATACCAAAGCTAGGTTAAATAGAGCTGGCGACACTCTTTTTTAATTCATTGTATAATAAATTTACATTTTTATATGTATTCGTCACGTCTACGTCAGCAAAATATAGACCTGTGTACTACTTAACATGTACAGTGGGTTTACATGGATTTTTGAATTTGTCTTATAGCAAGATGCCGGTGCTATCTGTACCGTTCCCTGCGGATATAATGAACGCGGTGCCCACGCTGGGAGGCATTCCTGTGCGTATCGCAATCGCCTTCAGGGATGTGCCCGCTCCTGAGGAACCACTCCATCTCACTGTGAGTAATCCATAAATGACAACCAGCGGATACATTTAATACATAACCATCTGTTACGGGATATCCAAGAGTTATCAAGAGTTCCAGCTGTAGACAGTCACTTTTGTTATCAGGTCGAAGTGCGGCAACAGGTGGCTGAGATACTCCGCGATGCGAACTGCGTCACCCGCCCAGAGAGGGCCGCTATTGTTAAGTTCGTCGCCGGCAATAGGAGTAAGGAATTCAAACTTGTAGTACCTTGATATAAAACCCCACGTCATATTTTGGACGTTAACACAAAGCAAGCCAGATTTTTTTTTATTTGGTTAGAGGCATCTTTAATACCAACTATTTATTTATAGTTACTTTTTCTTGTAAAATATACATTTTAAGACATTTTTGTCAATCAATAATCAATAATATTGTCTACAGGCAACCCATGCCCTGGTTACGGCAACGTGGGCTCTATCAAGTTGTCTTCGAACATCCGTAATTATAGACAGGATGATAACACCACCATCCAGCTGATTGAAGAGGAGCACTTCGAGATGAACTTCCAAACCGGCTACTGGCGATGCATCAAGAGGCACCGCCGCGCGGAGTAGACTCCGAAAGGCCCAACGTCATGTCCCTTATAACCTGACCTATTTATCCCCTATCCCCTGACAATGACGTAATAAATATCTAGTCACCCTTATAAATGTATTTCATTTAATAAACTTAGTGTTTAATATAATAAACAATAAATAAAAGTGAAAATTCCATCACTATGACAAGGTAAATAAAATGACAAATTAGAATGTTGCCTGTTCTAGGTATGGATATAAACTATAACAATATCTCTAAAAATGCTTAAAATATGAACATTATTAACAACTTAATCAAAATTTCACTTCAATTCAGACTGCGACCCCTATATTTAATACTCTATACTCTAACATATACAAAATCGACAAAGGGCGTTACACAAATCTTAAATTACCTTTAAATTATGTCGATGCGAATAACATCTCGTAAATTTTCCTACAAGATGCCTTGTATATGAAACATATCGTTACATATCTTTAAAAACAATTGGGAGGGCTAATTTTTCTTTCGTTATCGAAATCCCACTTGAAATTAAAAATAGCTAACGACTAAGATCAAGTGTTCATTAGAGCCTAGGAATAACAGTGCATTTAGACTGAAAAGAAAAAAAAACATATTTTGTAATAAGTAAATCCTTTATTCATAAATAACGTTATCTAAAGAACGACATTATATTGAAATTCAAATCAATTACATAATATTTTGTCAGAAGATTCGAGATGCATAAACTAGATCAGGGGGATGAAACAGGGAAGGGAGGGAGACCCTTAGCTCTTACAATAATCAATAACGAAAGTCTAGGTACGCAGGTACATTTATCGGATTCTATTTATAAAATATAACGCCCCTTGTCGCTAAGACCTTTGTTAACTACGAACTGAAAGCTAAAAGAATAAGAAGCTATAAGAATATATCATAATTCCTAATTATTGAAGAATGCGCAAATGCGATGTTGTGTTGTTTGATGTAAATAAATGTCATATTATTATATATGTGTTATAATTACCTAAATTATTGAGAGTGATTAAAATTTATTTAATGAATGTTAAATTTAATGTAAAGATATAAAACTAGTCATTTAAATAACTGAGATAGAGGTCTATAAATTAAATATAGATGGCGTTTAAACACTATTGACTAAGTAAGCTTCATAGATGCCGCGAGATGTCGCTAATCTTAGTTCTTTAGTCCGCTTATTAAAATTCGCGCTAAATAAGATAACGGGTAAATGCTCTTTTCACAAAGAAAAAAGTATTTTATTGAAGAAACAAAAGATATAGGATCTTACCCGGTAATAACGAACCATATATATCGATAAGTATCAAATAATATTGAAAAAAAACTAATATGAAATGGTAACAAAAAATGGTAACATTGTAGATTCGATAAAATTTTTGAATTGACGGTAACTGTCAGTCGAATAAAATCAAATCAAATTATAATATTTTTGTACAATCAAAATGGCAAACGAAGCTGAGGAAACCGTACGTAAATTATCAACGCATAAGGGTGTTGCCGGCGTTATAGTGGTCAACGGTGAGGGTATACCCATCAAGACAACTTTGGACAACCACGTATCCGTACAATACGCAGGCCTTTTGTCCGCACTGGTCGACAAAGCGAAAGCTGTTGTTAGAGATCTTGATCCAACAAATGATTTAACATTTCTTCGTGTTAGAAGTAAAAAAAGCGAAGTATTGGTGGCTCCTGACAAAGAATTTATATTAATAGTCGTTCAGAACCCAGTTGATTGATATAAGATTCAAACTTTTTGGTTGCTCGTCATTAGCCATGTACAGGAACTACGTGTTTCGTTCCCGCAATCTGTCTATAATGACTCAAATTCGTACGTGCTCCGAGCCGCCATAAAGTTTGGATAGAACTGTATTTTTATTATGAGTGTATTTGTTAGTGATAGATTTGATCATATTAATTATTAGTATTATAATTGTTTATTATTGCATGTTAAAATTAATTTCACTATAATCATGATGAAATTGTGTTACTCACAATTTACTCTTATTTAATGTATTTTTGTCAGAAAATCAATTTGAGTTTTATTTACATATTTATATAAAATGCACATATACATGTTCTATACTAATGCTGTCTTGTACAATATCGCCAAACTCGTAAACTGTCTTTCAGTGATTTCTTCTTTTACTAAATCTATGTTAAGGAACATAGAACTTGAGCGACCCTAGTAACAACTTATTCTATAACCTATAAGTTACGTGCAATAATGTAACCATGACTGGATAAGTTACAGGAAAGTAAAACTTCGTATAGAGGGGATGGAAAGCAAACTAACTGGAAGAGAATGCGGAATAAACTGCACGTTATACAGGCTGTTTAATTAATATAACAGTATAACTATTACATACTAGCTTTCGCCCGAGACGCCGTCCGCGTGGAATTTAAAAAGAAACATGTAAATAGCCTTTGTGTTCTTCCAGACTATGTTCTACATATATGACAAATTTCATCGAGATTCATTCAGCTGTTTAGGCTACAAACTCTAACAAACATCCATCCATTCATCTAGCCATCCATCAAAACTTTCACATTTATAATATTAGTAAGATAATTGTCACGTTTTTTAATGAATCAGCTGGTATAGGTAGAAATTATATCTCTCAGGCATGTTATATTTCAAAATGAGAAGGTAGAATTAGATTTTTAAAGAAGGAGTACGTAAAAACTTCACAATAAGGTAATAAGCAAATGATTTTCAGTACATGGGTCTACGAAAAAAATCTACACATTATTGTCTTGAATACTTAACAAGTATAACACTTATTAAAAAAGTAAAAACTTATATTTACTAAGGAAATTCCTTAACCTCTTTTTGTGGGTAAATGAAAGTGAACACTCCTATTTGTGAGAGTTGGCGGGAACACGACCGCTGCGTCTATGCACGCGATCTAACATTACAGTGAAAAGTGCTGGCCGTAACACAAGTCCTGTGTAATTTCAATAAAAAATAAAAAATAATTGAATTAAAAATAAAACAAATGTTAAATTCCAAAGAGGTATTAATTAAATTTTAAAATGAGAACGAAGCCTGTATTAACCTTTTCGAAGTTGGACGAGGAGACTGGAGAGATGCTGGATAGAATGTTCGAGAAGAAAGATTGTATGGTAGAGATTAATCCGGGACGTGTGATTTTACCCGCTGACTATATGACTATAGGTCAAGATATACTGGACATGGAAGTGCTGGAGGACGATGTATGGATGTGTTCTTATCCAAGGACTGGTAAGTACAAATTAAATGTGTTTGTTTCTTGTTTTCCATTTCATATCAGGTAATTAAAATATTTTTGAGATCGAAAATTGATATCCAATTAGTAGCGACGTTAGAATAAATCAAGGTAGGTATGACCGCCCACCGGTAGATGTAGGCCGCGGTGAACGGTGAAGTCGAGGAAACCAAAGGTGGTTTANTGGGTAGGCTCCACGTCCTTTTTCATTTGGGCAGGGATGTGGAGAGAGTCCCACATATCGTCTGTGTCTTTGCCCAAGGCACCTGGGAAACGTAACGCATTCCCCCTCTTAAATAAAGCAATAACCGCCCAGAGCTCCGGAAATAAAGGGCTACCGTGGACGCCATCTTTCGTATCAATTACAGTTAGCTGTAGATCTCGCTCAGGGCGCCGGTAGTTCGTACCCTGTATGTAAATAGGCAAACATAATAATAAAACTAAATATAATTTAAGGGTCAACCTGGGCCCAGGAGATGGTCTGGCTCATCGGTCACGATTTGGACTACGAAGGAGCAAAATCACTGCAACAAGTAAGTAAAATGTTTCACGCTCAACATTTATCCAAATTACATATCCGGTATAAAAATGCGTTTCGTTTTACGAATGTTTTGAACAAAAAAGTCGTTAGTAGATATTTTTCAAATTAAAATGAAAAAAAAATAAAACATAGCTCACTGATAATGTAGCTTTTTAATGGTGAAAGAATTTTTGAAATCGACCCAATAGTTCTTGAGTTATTTCATTATAATCAAAGTTTTCCTCTTTATTATGTTTTATTCTCTATATTATGTTAAATATAGATTATTCGATAGATATAGGACATTGACGCACACGCACATTCTAAATAGAAACGCATATAATGATTGCTAGATGTGCAGTGGACGTAAAGCGTATAAACGAGTTTCCACTCGATTGCAATTTCTCCGGAAATGCATTTGTGGCGATGCCGTGTTCTCTAACTGGGAGTTAACAGTGCAAAAACTTTTACATGTCTATACTAATATTATAGAGGAAAGATTTGTATTTATGTGTGTATTGAAAGAACTCAAAAACGGCCCAATTTCAAATTTCTTTAGATAAAGTTCTTTCGTCAGTCAGAGAGTATTTACTCGTAGTATATAGGCCTCGTTTTTTTACTATTTTTTTAATCCCACGTGGCCGAAGTCGCGAGCAACAGCTGTTGTTAATAATCTTACTAATATAAGCGTAAGTTTTAATGTTTGTTGAACTGCTGAACGGATCTCGATGTTTGGTATAGATGTACAGTCTGAAATAGCACATAACCTAATTACTTTTGTTTTTTTAATACCATTCGGATAGGTTATGTGACGTTTAGGCTACAAATTCTAGCCAACATTCCTGTATCTAAACTTTCGCATTTATGTTAGTTAGCCTTCGCCCACGAATCCGTTCGCGTGGTATTAAAAATAACAAAAGTTAGTAACCTATGTGTTCTACCAGACTATCCTCTACATCTATACCTAATTTTATCGAAATCCGTTTAGCTGTTTAGACTACAAACTCTAACAAACAAACATCCATCTAAACTTTCGCATTTATAATATCAGTAAGGTGATAAACGATTTCACACACCGAGGAAATATAACAAGATCCTGTTTCCAGATCCGTTGTCCACTGGTCGAGTTGTCTTGTATTATGGTGGACGGCCACGCGCAGTGGCACGAGGAGTCAGTGCAAGGAACTTCAGTGGATCTGGTGAAGCACCGATTGGCACATCCCCGGTACATCCGCAGTCATCTGCCCTGGGATCTCTTGCCGCTGGATGTGCAGAGAGACGACGGTACTGCTAAACCGAAGGTATGCTGTTTTAGAAGGAGATTGTAAATGAGTTGTTTTTTCTTTGCATTGCGATTTTCAAAAATGATTAAGATTATGATGACCACCCTTAGAGTGCGCGAACCTTTTT